TCCTCGGAAACGAACTACTGCCTCATGCATCAACAGAGAAGGACTTGGGTGTTATAGTCCACGAAGACGTGAGCTGTTCTGGTAACTGCGCCAGGACGTCATCAACCGCACTCAAACATGTCGGTCTACTTAAACGTGTTTTCGGTCGTTTTGAACCATCGTTATTCTCACGTCTGTTGTCAGCATACATCCGGCCGCATATTGAATATGCCATCCAAACCCATGGTTACGACGTGATCATAAGATTTTGGAATGTCCACAAAGGCTCGCCACGAAGGTGGTCAAAGAACTCTATCATGATTCATACATGGGGAGAATGCAGTCGTTGGGTCTATACTCTGCTCAATATCGTCGGATTTGAGACTTGATTTTGGTGTACCAAATACTACACAGCCCAAACCACCCTTTTCGCCGACTTCTGACGTTGTCGTCAAACGTTCATTTACGGGGACATCCATTCAAGTTGGTACTCCAAGAATTTCGACTGGACTGCCGAAGTCATCCCTTTGCCGTCAGAGTATGCACTGCCTGGAATTCCCTACCATCTCATGTTGTATGTGCCGAGACGATTGATTCTTTCACGGTAAAACTTGACGAATCATTAACAAACATTGCATTCCAACATCCATGAGAACACAAAACACAACCAAATGCAGCATATGGAATTTTGTTCATCACTGTTACAGTTCAATTCGTGTTAACACCCTATGGGATAAGAAAAGCATCTGCTTGTAGGTAATACCCATAATAAAACTTTGACTTTGTACCAAAAGGGATCGGGAAATGAGTTTGTGGTCCTTGTTAAAAAGACCGAAGAAGATAACAGGGGATTCATAAAGCCAATGGGGCAAAACGCAAGCAAAATCAAAAAGCCTTATGAGATGTTTTGGGATAGAAAGTGATTTAAAACGTGAAACATAAGACCTCGACCTTTTGACCTTCAGAAAGACGTCATTGATGTGGTCAGATCAGGTAATGCTACGGTTGAAAATACACATCGATGGTTGTCGATTCATCTGGTCATTTAGGATAGATAACGGCGGGTTGGCATTTTACAGTTCATGATACTTTGGAACTTCCAAAGAGGAAAAAACAAGGGAACCATATCGTCCTATTCGCCTCTGCTAGTCTGGTTTTGAAGTGCAAATAACTACTTAACTCCATAATGACCACTTTCTCTTCGGGATCACGTAGTTTATTGAATATTCCCAACGAGATGGAACGAAAACATTGTAGCTTGTTTTCGATAACTTTTCGGGCCAATACAGTTGTATATATATATATATATATATATATATATTTATATATATATATATGTAAAGGTTCAAAATTGTCTGATATGATGAATATGATTGGTTGATTGTAATCTTGTGATATGTGGATTGAAGATGAAAAATATATGTACTTTCATTTTTAAACCACATATCGTAATATTACAATCAACCAATCATAGTCATCACATCAGACCATTAAACTAGTTTGACAATTTTGAACCCTATAACTGTATTAGCCCGAGAAAGGAGTTATCGAAAACAAGCTTCGTTGGCTACACTGTTTTCTTATTGTCACGATGGGAATATTTATTGGAAAAGATTACATTACAATTTCGAGGGGTTCATACGGGTTCATTCCTTAGTTGAGACCAGATGTGGTTATAGGGCAGGAGAACAGGAGTGGCAAGGATCAAAGCAAAGCGTTTCGGAAGCATGTGTATACACAAGTGAATAAAACATTGTGGTAANNGGTAATCAGAATAGTATTGGGTATCGAAATACGAGAACCGGTATTGTAAGGCTCAGAACTGGATTGCCTCCGACCCGAAATGCGGACACCAATGGCAGCAGTAAATGCTTATGTTTACTGATAGAATTAGAGCATCTTTTATAGAAAGTAATAGGCCATATCATTGGTCGAAGGACCGTCGTCCAATCACGTAACCGTTCGCACAGACATATCAAATGTACTAACTCGGATGTAATGTTCGCTCGCTGTACCATTGGCCGAGATGCCTGAACTGTGATTGGATGACATGAAGCTGTATCTGGTCGTGCTTGGAATGCGGTCACGTATGTCCGGATCATCACAAACATACACAATCTGAAGAGGGATACTTGTCTCTCCATGGAAAATTAACTGAATCTGCATTGGATTTGGATATTACAGAAAATAATGATGCTCTGAAGTATTTAAAAAGTCGCCTGTAAACATACCAACATCATAATTCTACTCCAAGCAAAACATGAAAATGCATGAAGCTGTTATAACTGAGTGAGGAAATTAATACGGTAAACTTATCGAAATCGCATCGCAGATCGGATGAAAAGTGAAAGAAATGGAAACAATGGAAATCGTCTAGCGATGCCCATGTATGAATATGAATAAAAAAGGCGGGAAAAATGTAGTGTTTGGTTTGACCGGCAGTGTGTACTAAGTGGCATATGCGCATAATAAAATTTAGCGAAATGAAATGGAGTTGGTACTACAAACACTCAAGGTATTACCTTCCGCTGATCTTGTAGTAGCGATTCCCGATAAGCAGCTTCCTGTTCTTCCCGAACCCGTTGACGTGCTATACGTTCCGCTTCAGCTTCTAGTTCGGGGGCGAGCAGTTCCATGTAGTTTGTGTACGCTTGCCACAATTCGGCCACAATCACGTCCGGTTTGAGGCTTCCAGTGACCGGAGGTTGGACGGTTGAGGATGGTTTGTCTAACGGTGGGGTTTGTCCGCTAACCGGTAACGACGGGAAGGCCACATCATCCATGGCCAAAGTAATAGGATTGGTCACTGCACCGGTACCCAGTACGACACACAATACCTCCAGCTGGCCGGCAACTTTACCGACCATGGCTAAAACGGGATAGCTGTNCCACCTAAGTAGCATTTTCAGAAGAGATCACAGAGTCACAGTGAGACAAAAACACAGTTGCTCCTTTGGTGAAGTCAGCAAGTCAGCGCTTGACAAACAGATAGGATAATAATTCGAAAGGGGAACGTCCAAGACAGAGAAAACTCTACAGTCTAAAAATCAATAGCACCAATAGTCTATCCGTTCGAGTTTTCCATGAAGCGTACCGTCGGACAGAGATAGACATCAGTTGAATGGATTACAAAATCGTCTCAAACTTCACCTAGCAATCAGTCATAAGATTCAATCCCCATGAAAAAATATGAACCTCTAGCCCAGATTTCACAGAGGAAGCACCAGCATTCTAAAATGTATAACGTGAAGGGCTGCGAACGTCCCGATAAATGGAACCGTATGTGCGCAAAGTAGTACACTCAAGATGTTCAGAAGAGCAACTACATGAAAGAAACTGAGAACGACGACCGCCATTGATTCAGGAAAAATATCTCAAAAACTATACTATGCGATGTAGGAGGTCATAAATCCATAAATCCGTATAGAAACTCTAAAGGTGAGTCAAGCATATCTATTAACTGATGAACCGCGCATTAAGTAAATCAAGCGGCCTTAATGAATTCGACAACACTGTGCTGTAGTAAACTAACTGCGACACACCTAACTTAGGAAACCGACTCTATCACAAAAATAACTGGAAAACCAGGAAAAATATCACAAAATAAGCCCATCATCGTAATCCGAACACTGATCGTCGGTGAACATATGTTTTCGGTGAGTTCCTTCTCACATTTATGTAAGAAAATATCGGGGTGTGTTGGGGTTGAACAGTCAAGATCAAATAATTAGAGCAAAGGGGCGGGTTAGAGACACGTTTGCTGATCTTCAATATGGCACCATCAGGGATATGCTTTATAGGAAGAATGTAACGAATTACCATTCCTGGATTTTTACTTAGCGAGACGTTTGGATGGCTCCATTCAACGTAAAGTGCATCGAAAAGCCATATGGGACGGATAGTGTACAAACTTCCATAGTTTTGTACCGCTCACCTACAAGCGTAACTTGGTGCGCTGTTTTCTATTTGGAGAAAGATACATCTGACCAGAATATGCATTAGAAACTTAATTAGCAGTTGTGCGAAAGACGCTGTTAGAAAATAGCTACCCAGAAACGTTCATTACTCGTGCCTCCCAATGCTTTAGTATGGTCGGGAGTGAGTTTATCGGGCTCCGAAATAGCTATTCGTCCCGAACTACTCTAGAAATGCTCCAAAACGACCAACCG